CATACAAGCTTTTTAAGTTATATTATAATTTTTAATTATATTAATTAGTTAACTTATTGGATTAATTTTAATTAGTATTTTAGGAATATATATATATATGTAATATTCGTATGTAATATATAAAATTAGATAAAAGCTTTACTGATTAAATATCAAACAATTTGTAATTGATTAATTATATATATATATATATATATATATATATATTCTAGTTTTTCTATATGAATTGTTACTTAATATATGTAATATGATATATAATCTTTGTCTAGTGTGGTGGATGGTTGTGTATGTGGGAATGGATGGTTGTATACGCGCACGCGCATGCGTCTCTTTCTCTTTCCTCTTCTTTCAAAAAAGATAGTTGTTTTAAATTTTTATTTGCTATTATATATTTAATACTTTCCATGCCGGATCGATTTTTGATTTTTTGTTCAAACAATTAGATTATATTATATCTTACATTATCAAGATTAATAGTTTTCTTTACAAATATAAGATTTATAGTAAGAATAATATTTATAATTTAGCAAAAATCATAATTATCGAAAAAAAGATAGTATTTAAAATATAAAAAAGAAAAAAGAGTATATATGATTTTACAATAAATTTTTTCAAAAATTTAATGATTTAAATGGAAAATTTAATATGAGGCATACGTTAATTCAAAAATATTTAAATATTTTGAAAAAAAATTTTAATTACAATAATTATAAAATATTATTTTTTAAGTATCAAATTTTTTTTTATTCTTTTACTTTCTTTTTTTTAATGTTATAAAAATTTAATTTCTAAGAATTATAGTAAATAAAATTTATTAATTATTTTATGTAAAAATTTAACAGATAATATAAAATAGATATAAAATATAAAAGAAAATATAAAAAAAATTTCAATTAATAAAAAAAAATTAATTGAAGATAAATAAAATATAAAAATAATTGTTTTAAAAAAATTGAAATTTTTTATTAGCATAAGTCAATATATAATTTAATTTCAAAAGAAATTAAATTTCTAAAAATATAATTGTAAAACTTTATTTTAAATAACGTATTTTTTATATATAATTCCACTGCATAAATATTCATTAAAAATAATCAATAATCAATAATTTGTTAATTCTCAGAAGATATATAGACACTTTTGATTCATAACAAAATTTTTTTGTTTTTTGAAAATAAATTTTTATATAAAATATTATTTATACATTGATTTGCTTGCTCTAAAAATAACTGCGACATAGACATCAAAAAATGATATTATCTTTGCTGAGATATGATTGCAAATTATGTTTCATTCTAATAAAAGAATTCTTCATAATTTCTTCTCTTATCTTTTTATAAAATGATAAATAATAATAAATAGTCATTACTTCAGTTTCGCAAGATTTAATGTTTGCTAACGAGGAGTTAAAAATATATTTAATCTTAATTCTTTTATTCAAATTTTTTTGAAAACTGATTCATATGTTACAAATGTTTTATATATATATATATATAAATATACACACGTTAAAATTCGAATTCTGTTACATTTTGGTCTTATATTTAATATTATTAAATATAAGACTTATTATTATTTATATATACTTATTATATACTTATATATATATATAAGTATATTATATATACTTATTATTTATATGTTATACCAACTGATGAATTTATTTCATATGTTTCAAATATTGTTTTTGATACCATTGATATAAATTTATTCATTCTTTTCTTTTTTCCCATAATAATATTGTATAAAATTGATATTTTTTTTCTATTTATAATAGAAAAAAATTGTTTTAATTTCAAATTTATTGATTTAAAATTTATTAATAATAATTATTAAAATATTAATTATAATATTGAAATATTACATTATAAAATTATAAAATTTTTTATAAAATTTTAAATCAGAAGAATAAAAAATTTTTTTCTTATTTTAATAATAAAAATCTATGGCAATCAACTTTTGAATTTTTTTTTATAATTAGCTTTTATCATTATAAAAATGAAAGAAATTACCAACTACAAATCTATTAATATCAGTTTCAATAAATTTTTTTTTTCATATCGTTTTTAATTAAGTAATATTAGGAAAAATTATAGAAAAATTATAGAATATATAGATTAAAATCAATTATTTTAAAAAATATTGAAGTTAATATATTTATTATATTATATTACATTTATATAAGTGTTTATAAATATATAATATTACTAATATTATTAACATTTAATATTTTTTGAAAAAAAGAGAAATAGTTTTATATAAAATGAGTTTTATAAAATTATAAATAAATATTGAGTTTTAATCGTAAAATTAAATTCATATATCATCTTATATAGATACAACCAAATATCAAGCTGACAGATGATTTTTTGTGAAAAAATAGCAAAAAATATAGAATAAAATTGTGTACAAAAATAAATATATCGTTTTCGACAATATTGTTAATAATAAAATATTTCTAATAAAATATTATAGTAATTTCAATTTCAATTGCACCTAGAATCTCTGGATTATCATGTAAGTATTATATAAATAAGATAGGCATTGTCTTTCGCACGGAAAGTCGTATCTTAATCGTAATTTCATATACGTAATGGATGACTAAATTTCAGGTGAAAAAATATTATGTCTTTTTTACAAGGAATTATTCTCTTGACATATTATTTAGCTTCACTTTATTATTAAATAGAAATACTATTATCTAAAACTAGTACATGTTACAAAAATTTTTTCAATGGAACTAATTTCGTTTAATTAGATCGGATATAACAGATTTCGAGATTTGACTGTCATGTATAAAAATATATATATATATATATACATATACACACATGTGGATATGTATTGTTTTTTTAATAGTCTTTTTGACATTATATTAACATATTTAAATTTATTTTTAACTTTAATTTTTGTTTTTCCTTATAATTGTTGTTATTGTTAAATTAATGGTTTATTCTCAAAATTTAATTTTTAATTTCTATTATATATATAAAACTATAGAGAAAAAATTCTTCAATTTTTTTTAATCTTATTATTTATTGATTTTATTAATTTTTATTAGAAGCGAATTGTTTTATTTATATTAATTATTTGTATAAATTTTAAAATCTTGAAATATAATATAATTGAAAAGAATGAATGATTTCTTAATTTTTTTTCTTTTGTATATTATTTTCATGATGTATTTCAGTATATCCTTTAAAAGGTGTAGCTAAATATCGAATTTTCTTTAATTTTCCTTTTGCATCATAATAACCATATTGTCCTTTTATCGTACCATTCCGATATTTTTCTTCTAATCTATATTGTCTATTATTTCTGAAAGAAATATGTAATATGTATATGATATATTTTTAATTAAATACATCTAAGCAAAATTTTTATAATTTTATATATATTTACACATGTATATATTCGGACTCACATATACGTATATATAAAATTGTTTGTAATAAAAAAATTAATTTTTATAAATAATAATTAGAAATTTTTCAAATGATAATTATCTAATTATGATTATAATCATTTATATTATGTCAGTAATATAATTAAAATAATAAATTTTATTAATTTAATTGCATTGTGAATAAAATTCAATTTAAAAATTCGAATTACAAACCCATATCCAGTATCAAATCCAAAAATATATGTTTGTGGTCCATCATAGCCTTCTATTTGAAATTGTATTCGATCTTTATGTTCTAAAAACTTCCAAGGATCAATATTTTCTTCTTTTTTTATTTTTATATATTTATTTATTGTAGTTGTAATATTTTTACTTCTCTGCAGTAATTGTTCATTATTTTTCTTTACTATTGGTTTTATATTGCCATTTAATAATAGTTGTTGATTTTTTTTGTAAAATTGCTGATCATTGGCCCATGAAACATTGGTCACAATTGTACTCATTAACAGCTAAATATATTTATAAAAAATATATTATAAAAAATATATTTTTATAAAAATATTACATAATTATTTTTCTTAAATAATATAATATTTATTACTAATTTTTAATTTATTACATATGCTTTATTTATTGTTCATGCTTTATTGATTTGATTTTTAACTAAAAAAAAAAAAATTTGAATTGTGAATTAATTTTTATTTGTTTTAAATTAAATTTCAAATGTTTTTGTGATTTATTATTCTTTTTTATTGAATTTTAATTTGATTATTATTATATTATATTAAATTTCAATAAATTGATTATTATTATAAATTTCAATAAATATATAAAAGTTGAACAAAATTTATTCTGCTAGTTATTATAAATAAATATTATAATTAATTATTAATAAAAATAATAATATAAATTTTTAAAGAAAATTTTAATAAAATTTTCATAAAATTTTATTTCAAAATTTAAAAAATTTACAGTCTAAAAAGAAAATTTAAATAAATTTAAATAAATAATTAATAATTTGATTTATTTATTTATTATATAAAGTATTTCCAATTTTTTTCTAAATTATAAAAATTATAAATGAAAACAAGAAAAAAATATTGTAAAATAGTGTTTTATAAAATTATAAATAAATATTGAATATAAGAAAAAATATTCATTTAATAATAAATTTTGTATCATAGAATATGAAAGATTAATAATATAAAGATTAATAATTATATTATTTTTATTTATATATTTTTTTTACTTTTAAAATAATTTATTGATGATGATTGATTAACTGATAATAGTAATTTAATAAGTTTAGTTAATATATTAATAAAGTATAACTTAAATATAAAATAATATATTAAGATTCTCAAGATATAAAATATAATTTAAATGTAAAATAATATATAAAGATTTTCAAGATTTAAAAAAAAAAAGTCATCACAATAAATTATTTTAAAATAAATTATTATATTTTATAAATTTTTTTATTTTTTCTTTTATGTATATTATTCTTTTATATATATATATATTATTTAATTTAATATAATTACAACAAATACTAATTAGTTTGCAAAAAATTATAAAAATTATATTTTGTATATATTTTACATGAATATTTCAAATTTTTAGTACACGATATATTTGTATTTTTTAACACAGTTTTTTTTGCATGTTTTTTATCATTTAAAAAAATATAAAACTTTAAGAGATAAAACTTCTTAATAAATTATTTATTTATTAGTTTTATATAACATTTTTTTTATTTTTTTTATTTTTAGATTTATATTATATTCTTACAATTTATTTATATAAAAAAATTGAAAATACTAAATAATTCTTTATCCATTATTCATATATCATATATTATCTATTCATTAAAATTAAATTATTCAAAGATTATTTATAATTTCTTCTTTAATGGAAATAAATTTTTACTCACAAGTAACTTAAAGCGCATTTTGTGTTTCTGATGATGGAAGAACAACAATTCTCTGTTAAAATTGTCAGTAATCTTTCTTGTTTTCTCAATCACTTTCATATTTCCTTTCTCTTCTATTATTCTCCCCTCCAACTTTCTTTTAAGATTTCATTTTTGTGTTATTGAGTCTTTTAAATAGCAGTAAATTGTATGAACTTTCTTTTCTATTTATATATTTTATTTATTGAAATTAATCTTAGTATTCGATTAAATAAATTTTTGTTATTTAATTTTAATTCATTTATCTGAATCGATTTATCCAATTTTTATTATTTGAATGAAAAATATAAATATAAATATTATAATTACAATGATAAACAAGAATAAAACATCAATTTTATGCTTATTATAATTTTTTAATGATAAATATATTATACATATATAATATACATTATAGATATGAACTTCAATTATTATTATTCAATTATTATTATTTCATCTCCATATTCAACTTTATATTATAAACAATTTTTTTTCGTATATATAACCATTACTTTGTCTTTTAAATATATTTATAAAAAATTATTATTAATACTATTGAATTATTATTAATATTATTAAATTTTTTTCTTGGAGTATTTAGATTATTCTATAGTTTTCTAAATAAATAAAAATATATATGTTTTATTTATTTGTTGAAATTTTATTTTACTCAAATTTTTATAACGTTTCTAATGAAATTAGTTATTATATGAATATTTTTAAACTCTATATGTATTTACTTTCTAATAAATTTAAATAAATTAAATTTTAAATATTATTTCTTTTATTATCTTTAGAGTTTTTTAATTTTTATACTCTCAAATTTTTTTATACTATTTAATTTTTTAAATATGTAATAAATAAATAAATATTTTTATCATAAATGTAATCTATCATTAGTTATCATTATTCTAAAATATATTTTTCTAACTACAAAAATAATTTTAAAAAGACAATGAAAATTATGATATTCTCTTCAATTAAATTACATAATTTATATTTGAGTGGAAGGAAATAATTCAGGATATGTCATGTCACCGAAACGCATATTAAATTCAAATTCTTTTTAATAGTAGAATAATATAACATGCAATTATTGTCATCACGTTTTCCTGTTAATTATGCATATATATTTGATTTCAAGCGTATATGGTTTCAATAATTGTTAGTTAATTCAATATAACATTGATTGTATATATAAACAAATTATGAAAAATTTTGTTTTCTTATTTTTTATTGTATTGTTTTACTTTTTCTTCATGAAGGGATAGTAAGTTATTTTCATAAATTAAAAATTTATTTTATGTAATATATATATATATATATATTAACTATTAAATATAAACTATTAAATAAATAATAAATGTTATATGTATAAAATTAAAAAGTAAAGTAATTTTACTCAAAATTAATCTTAAAATATATATAAATATTTTATGTATATGTATTTATGTATTTATTATTTTTGAAACGTTCATTTATATTTTTCATTAAATATTAAAAAAAAATAATTATAATATATTTAGTATAGAATGAGTAAAAAGTTCATTCAATATATTCTTTTTTATATAAATATTTTAATTAATATACATTCATAATTTCAATAATTCAATTTCAGAGGTAGTTTTATATATATATATAAAATTTATGATCATTATATTTATATCAATTTAGATCAATTTATCGATTAGTTTTCTTTCTATCAATCTTAATAAACCTAAAATATTATTTTAATATTATAAGTTTTTTTTAGACATAGTCGATTTGTTTTAATTTTCGAATTATTCATAAAGAACTTTTGGTTATCACTCAATGAATTAAAATTTATAATCTAATGTTTAATATAATTGTTAAATATAACATATTGATATTTATATACAGGATGAACTATGCAAATAGAACGAGCTGTAACTTCTATTTCGTTGAAGATAGAAAAAAATCTTAAATGGAAAAATTGAGTAAATTGATAAGGAATATTTTTAAATATAAGATATTCATATTTTTTTTTATTATATACGATATATCAAAACAATGAGTACTCATTACTACAATAAGAAAAGAATTTAAACGTTATCACCGTTAATATTATCACCGTTATGCATTACATTTTTTATGTTGTTTTTTAATATTTTTTATCATACCATTGATTATATATTACATTAGAACAAATCATTTTAATTCATTTTTTTAAATTTTAAAGAAAATCTTCGTGAACTATATATTTCTCAACAAAATTTTAATTAAATTTTAAATTTTTAATTTTTTGCTTATTTTATATTAATTCTTTTTAAAAATTTTAAAATATTATAAAATAAATATTAAAAAGCAATTGATTTATGCGAAAAAATATGATTTAAAAAATATAATTATATATTTTCAATGCATCATTGTATTAAAAAAAAGTGAGTACCAAATAGATTTTATCAAATCATACAATTTTTCTTTATCTTTGATGAAATAAGAAAAAAAGACTATTCTAGTTATATGCTTTATCGTATATATATAATTATATATCATTCAACTTATATTTTTGCAATCAATGATGATTTTCTCTGATAATTCTTTGCAGTTTAAGTAAATTATATAATATTCAATATATTTAAGATGTTCACTAAAGACTTTAAATGCTTTTTAAAAGATATATAACTTCAACTGATTTATATGAAATATAGATAATAAATATATAAGATATCCTAAAATGTAGGAATACTTACGATTAACTGAAAATTCCTAAAATAATTTCAATCAATATTTTCCTTATAGAAACTTTTGTCACAATATTAATAAGTTATTAATAAAAAAATACATCAATCACAGAGCGCGTACGGAATCGTGATGTACTGTCGATTGAGCATAATAAATAAGTCCAAGAAGTATGTATCGACAAAGATATGTTTATTCGTCATTCAAAATGAATAATTCTAAATTATCATAAAAACAGTATAAAATTTTTCTAATAAATGAATGATAAATAATATATATTTAACTTAAAAAAAAATAAATGATTTGATGACAAATTATATTAAATTAAAAAATAAATTGATCAAATAAATAAAATTAATTATTCATCAAAAATTCAACTCAAGTTTTGATTTTTTTTTTAACATTGACAATATTCTAATATTCTTTTTTAGTATTGAATTAATTTTTGACAATTTGCACTAAATACTAAACTGAATATATATAACATCACCAAAAAATAACACATAAAGACAATGTATTTTCAAATTAATATATTTATCATTTACTTCATTGCATAGTTATCAACACTGATAAATTGTAATCACTTGTAATTTAATAAGAGAATTAAATTTAATTTTTTTTCGCATTATTATACTTTATTATATTTTACTTAAACACTTTTATTTATATCTTTGCAATCACGAAATTGAATAGGTAATGAGTGCATTCGTGAATTAAAATCTCTGGCCGAAGTTGAATAGATGAAAAGATGAGACAATCTTTTTTCTTTTTGATGATATGCAATGAACTATATTAATGATTACGATACAATATGTGATCATGTCTAGTGGTCAAAACGAAGTTCACGACGAAGTCTTTAACAAATCTCAAATTCATATCAAAATGCAAAAAACTAATGCTAACGGGACACATTCTCTCTTCGATGATAAATTTCCGTGAGGCATATCATAGCCAAATCCATAGACATTCATGGATCAGCTTTTTGATGACATTTATTTGATCAATTATTTTTTAATTTATTTTTTAATTTATAAATTATAATGTATTATTTATTTTTTTATTCTAAATATATATTATTTATCATTTATTTGTTAGAAAAATTTTATATTCTTTTTATATGATATAATTTGATATTACTTATTTTCATTAAAGAACAAAAATTAATTAATTTAATCATTATTTTTAAATAAGATGGAATTCGATATAATTTTTTGTCAATAAAAAAATATTTGTTATATTCAATTCACTTTTTTTATACGTACTGTTTCAATTTGTTGCAAGACACTGATGCATGTAACCAACACTACCATCGTTGCTCAACTAATTTACTGTTCTGTGATTCTGTAGCCAATATTTTTTCTTAATAACTCGTTAACAATGTTGTAACGAAAAATTTTTGTAAAGATT